AGATTTCGCACTGTCCTCGTTCGATCAGCTCGTTTACGGTGGCATCCTGTATTTCTAAATATTTTTTCTGTTTTTGAATTAATAGCACATCACATCGTCACTCGGGAACCTATACTATAGTCAGGTTATAGTTCGGCTTAAAGGGCCGTAGCTTCAAAGGTTGCTTGTTTCTCCAGTCACAAGCCAAAAGTGGGTCAACTGGTAGGTGGGTGTTCGGTTCACGGTTGAGCCGAGGTTTTGAAGCACTGGCTTGGAGGAAAATATCTTGAGCCTCTGCTCAGTTTTTACTGACATGAGAAGAAGAGCTGAAACCAAGGCGATGCAAAAAACAACAGGCAAGCTTGGTCATTGTACAATACCGACCGACATGATTAATTTAAGAACGGTTGGGAATGGACAGTCTTTGGTAAAACATTGGGAATGGACAGTCTTTGGTAAAACACATGGTAAATGCGATAAATTGCAACTGGATATCTCAAAAGCACCTGTCCATATGAACCTTTCTAGCCCAATGCTTTTTACATAAAATCTTGCCACTTTGGGGAAATTAAGGAACTCATAACTCAAATCCATATTCCCAGGGTTAAAGACGTAATTTTTGATACTGTGACAGTACGAATTTTTGATCCTACTGGTGGCTACGGGTCATCGATGACCTAACGACATAGGGATTCGAACGGCTACATAGGTAATACCCGAAGTAGCTTAGCGGGAGTGTGTCATACAGATAAGCTTTTATAAACAAAAAATCCGCCATACAATTATCCCGATTTTAAGGAAGTATATATATACAAAGGGAAAAAAAGGATGGGCTCCTAATAATTAGGAACCAAAAAAGAAATGGCGCCACCCGGAATCGAACCGGGGCTAACACAGGAAATCTAATATGAAGAAACACCACAATGTGTCGTCATACCACTAGACCATGGCACCTTATTAATGAAAGAAGGGCCAGATTTAGGGTCCATGAAGCTAAACCATGCCTATGTCTCATCTTTGGCACTTATAGGTAATTAGTTGGCATGCATATCTTCTACTATAATATAAGAAAAGCAATAGTATGACATAGTCCTGTAAAAGTATAAGAGGATTCTAGTGAGAAGTTAAAGATGATTTATAAATGGAGCCCTAGGTAGGTAGTGTAGAGGGCTATTAATAAGCGTTTAGTAATAGATAACATTTAGTTATAGGTCTGGGTGATCTATACCTCCATAGGCCCACCGCACTGGTCTAGAAATCTTTAACAAGTACGTGCATAGGTATGAATACCCCATAGTTGAGGTTTAGCTTAATCAATGCTAAATTTGGGCTTCCTTCCATCAAATAAGGTGCCATGGTCTAGTGGTATGACGACACATTGTGGTGTTTCTTCATATTAGATTTCCTGTGTTAGCCCCGGTTCGATTCCGGGTGGCGCCATTTCTTTTTTGGTTTCTAACTATTAGGAGTCCATCCTTTTTCCCCTTACCTATCTATCTATCTATCTATATTAATTATATATAACTCTAGTTATTAATAAGCATCGAGACATTTTTTGTTTCTTAAACTTATATTATATAGTAAAGTCTGACCGCTCTAACACAAATAGTACTAATCATGTATCAGCCTCAAACTACATAGAATAGGTGCCATGGTCTAGTGGTATGACGACACATTGTGGTGTTAATGTGTTAACTTGTTAACATGTTAGGTTTCCTGTGTCAGCCCCAGTTCGATTCCGGGTGGCGCCATTTCTTTTTGTTGTCAATATTTTTGATTAGTACATTAGGATCTCTTTTTGTTTCTAAAGAGCAAAATCCCAAGTTGCCGGGCACGAGGGAAGGAAGGCGGTAGCAGAATAGCACTGTATAGCAATCCGACTAAGTTGTACAGAACTATAAAAAAAAAAGCAAAGAAACCAAGATCCTGTTCAACCGTACAACCTAGCACGGGGATATCCCAATTCCAAAATACATATGGAAAGTCCTCATGAATCGTATACACCTTGATAAACCCTAAAGGAAAAGAGTAAAGGAGAAATAAGTGTGAAAAGACCAAGTGGGATTTGGATCCCCTTCCTGCCTAGAAGAAAATGAAATAGAATAGAAGAAATTAACGATAAGAATCACAGGGGAATCAAGAAAAAAAGAGGGGATATCACAAAGGGGTGTGCAGACAAATACAAAGCAATATAAAAATAAGAAAAGGCCCGAAACCAAACCCAATCAAGGACCGTGACCGTGACCGTGACCGTGACCGTGACCATGACCATGACCATGACCATGTCCATGAAGATGATCCCTGCGATCAATATAATAAGGCTCCCCATCATCACCATCACTGCTAGAAGTATTATAAACGGAGAAACCATCCTCAAAGCTTCCACGACGCATCTGCACCTGCATCTGCATTTTCGAAGCACCCTCTTCAGACTCAACAGACTGTATTCGATCCATAGAGTCACAGCTACTCTGTCCATCGGACCGTTTTGTCGTCGAGATCCGCCGGTCCTTACCACGGCCCTTGATGCCTTTGTTGCTGTTTTTGTATAGCCCGGCGAAATATATCCACAGTTCGCGGTCTGCGAGGTTCATGTTCATCGGTCCGTTCTCGCCCATTTGTGAGAAGCGGACTGTTAGATTGTGGAGTGTTGCTGCGTGGAATTTGTTCTGGTGGGACTGTTTTTGGGGGAGGGTTGGTTAGCTTTTGTTTAAAGAGGATATTGTATGGGAATGATGCTGACATAGAGGGGATAATGGGGTGGCCAAAAACTTACCTTGAGGTTGCCTAACTGGGTAAACTGTTTGCCGCATTCATCTAGACGGCAGTCGAACCGTTTAGACTGGTCATGGGTGAGCTTGTGAGCGCGGACGTTGCCTCGCTGGGCGAATCGCTTATGACAGATTTCACATTGGAAGGGCTTTTCGCCCGTGTGTCGTCGCTGATGGGTCTAGTTTGAGAAACGTAAGTCAGTGTCTGCCTCGTGTGTCGTAATCACATAGTGCGGCAGCTGGAGGGGGTGTTGTGCTTACCTTGAGGTTGCCTTGTTGCGAGAAACGTTGCCCGCATGAGGGCTCCTTGCATATCTGCCACATCCGAAAATGATTAGTTGCTGATCCTACCAAATCTTGTGTAGGAATATGCCATGTACTCACAAATGGCTTGTCACCTGTGTGTGCCCTAATGTGGATGTCCAAGTGTGTTTTCTGCGCGAAGCTTTTGCCACAGCCTGGGAGGTTGCAATTGTACTTGCGCTTCTTGCCTGTGCGCGATAGCTGGCCTTCGTTGGCATGGTAGCAGCGCGGTGGTGTGGGTGAGGCAGTCGGGTAGGATACGGGATAGGCCTGTGGTGTGGGTGGGGCTAGATGTTGGAGTGGTGGCAGCGATTGCTGGGTCGGTGAAGAAGCATGTTTCGCCTGGATTGCCTTCATCAGGACATCCACGTTGGTTGAGAAGGCGATGTCAGCGGAAGTTTGCTTCTCGTCTGTTGCCCCGACTGGTGAACTGTGGCCTCCAGTTGAAAGCTGCACCCGTGGACCATGGTCAGGAGTAGACTTGACTGTCTGGCTGATGGCATTCTTTGCCGGAGGAATCTCTGGAATAGACTGCAACGGTTGTTCCGTTGTGAGACGCAGTGGTTGCGGCGGTATCGGGTGCTGACTAGGGACAAAGTATTGCTGGTAGGCATTCGGATGTGCATGTGTGTGACCCACGGAATGGGCGAAGCTGTAAGGCAAGCTACTCGGGGTCTGGTAAGGCAACGAGTATGGTGTTGTTTGGTGTGAATAGAAGGGAAAGTTCTGGTTCGGGGTCGAGTCCATCGGGCGTCTGTGTGCAAACGGAGCCACAGCATGGCCGGGGAACTCGTAAGAGACGGGCTCTGCAGTCTCCATCTTTCACTGTTCGTGTGGTCTTCCTCTCAGTATCAGAAAAGCAAGGATACCTTCTCCCTGCGGATCTCCCACGAGATACCAATGTAGCTCAATGTATACTGGTCCTCAGGATGCGCTAGGGTGGGTTTTTCCTGTGTAGTCTTTGACTAAGTTCTGAAACTCAATCCCCGGTGATATTTGGGTTCTGGCTGGTAACGAGTTGCTTTTCAAGAAAGCAAGGATAGGGACAATAGACAAACAGGCTGGCCAAAGCGCAATCAGTCTATAGATCTGGGTCTATATACGAGGGGAAATGAAATAGCAAATATATGCAGGTCATGCCGTGAAGAGGAATATAATGATTGACAACTAGCGATGATCTTCCGCATCGACCGTGGCGCCTCCCGATCTAGATATACCAGGGCCCCAATGCAATGGCGGGGACAACAGGGGGAAGGGAGTCAGCCGGTGAGAAGAGAGTCGAAAAGCCCCATTTTGATCGTCTGTATAACGTTTGGGGAAATGGTAATTTTTTTTAAAAAAAAGGGGGGAAGAAAAGGCAGTTCAAGAGAGGATACATGCAATGCGCACTGTACAGTGTTTGATTCGATCTCCGTAGGCCGGTGATCCTAGGTGATTGAGGCGACCTGACTCCACCGGGAAATAAAAAAAAAAATCAAATCAATCGGGGACGAACTGGGGTTCCTGGGGTTCCTGGAACCCGAAAAGGCCCTGGAGCCCCCGAAGCACTGGTGCATTGCATGGTCCATGAGATGCATGGTTTGCTTTGGACGCATCCATTTTCTGTACCACGAGGAATAGTAATTCTCATTAGTGGTAATGTATTTGGACACATTCGGTGTGAAAATGTGTGTCAGTCACACGAAAAATATACTCGTAGCCGCGACTGGCGACGAAAGCCTTCTCAGACTCCTTATAGTTCCCATACTTCTCCCATAGTCTGCACTTCCTGTGACTGATATTGTTGAAGTGACTGACATCTGTCAGACTCAATCTCCCCCCCCCCAAAAAGAAAGGAAACACGCAAACTCATCGTGCTGTGCATCTTTCCCCTCGAGGAGACGGGCCGGGCCTTCAAATCGCGGAATTCTCAAGTGGACCGTGATCGACCTGCAGTCGACATGTAGATTATTCAGTCGATCTCGGAGTCAGCAATCGCTCAATGGCCAGCTGGGCCGTAATTACGAGTCCCAGGATGCGCCATCCCGATAGTCGCCAATAGTGTCCGATCTCAGCCCATCGAATATCCCAGTTAGCCGCCCATGGCCCTAGAAAATTCTGTCCGGTGATCTGAGTCTCCTTGGAGAGCCAATCAAATTGTTCCTCCAGCCAGTGCGATCTGTCTCTCTCTCTCTCTCTCTCTCTCTCTTTTGGGGCAAGTGGGTGTCCAGGTGGGAGTCGATTTTGGCCCCCGTAGAAGGAGTCAGCACGGGCTTTTGGTCTAGTCTCGATGTTTTTTGCCCCCTTAGACTGCACCAAACGGCTTGGCTCATGGGTCACGTCGATCGTAACCACTCGTGGTCTTAGCTCCATACTGGGGGACGATCCGAAAAGTGACAGCCATGGCAATCTGACACGAGTGGTAACCCTGCACGACCTGCGTCGAGGTGAGGTATCGAGACTTGATAATGGTTCCTGCAGGGATGCGACTAGTCTCCATGAACTACTTCCTGAATGGGCGAAGGCACCTAAATCTGCATACACGCCGCGTTAAACATGTTTTGATGAAAATTGGATCAGCATGTACATTTCCATAGGAAGATCTGAGGTGTATTTTACCAATCTTTCCATTAAATAATATTCAACCCAAGAGTATTCAAAGTATTCAAAGTTTTTCGGAGTCAAAGAGTATTCGGAGGCTCTGTGGTAATTCAGACGGACAGGGATGGTGTTGTTGGGAAATTCAGCTCGTTCCAGAATGTGTGTCCGTGTGACCTTTTACGTCTACAACATAATATACAGCTGTTGTAGTTATATACCAGGTAGTATAGAGAATGGCAATTTTGGAATTGAAAAAAAGGTGTTCACGTATACACCAAGGTGTATAGAGTAAAAAATAGAAACAAATTCAGCATAAATAAAGCCCATAACCAAAGCAAAAACATCATACGCCCATAGGATCAACCCTTTCATCGTCCAGTGTATGCCGAGTATCTAGAAAGGAGTCAGCTTATGATCTGAAATACAGTCAGGGAAAATACTTACCTCCAGATTCGTGCACGCATGTCTCCACTGCCCGTCGCGAACAGGTTGCCAGTAGGACTGGGCGCAACCGAGATGACTATTTGGAGTTAGTTAAGAGATAAATAATGCATGCAAAGGTTAAAACTCACCAGAGTTCTTGTGGCCTTGAAGCATCATCTGGGCATTTCCAGTCACTGGATCCCAGAACTGAACACCGCGGTCCTTGGAACCACTCATCACCCAGGCACCATCGGGTGTCAGGCAAACACTGAGGACAAAGTCCTAAATTGTAGTCAAAAGTTAGCTTCTGCCCGTCTCCCAACGTACTCTTAGATCTTACCTTGTGGCCCTCGAATGTACGAATACACTTGCCACCCTTGATGGCACTGTGAGGGTGCATGCCTCGGGGGACAGTAAGCTCCCAGAGCTTGATAGTCTTGTCCAGACTGCCACTGACAAGGTCGCGGCCGTTGGGCGCGAACGCGACCGAGTAGACACTGTCCTTGTGGCCATCTGGGTTCTCCAGACGCTCCACCAGGTATCCAGTTGTCGTGTCCCAGACGCGCACGCTCTTGTCCAACGAACCTGCAGCCACGTAACGGCCATCCGGAGACATAGCCACAGTAGTGACACCATCCTCAATGCTAAGGGTGTAGACAAGCTTGCCATCGAGAATATCCCAAAGGCGCACGGTCTTGTCTCCACTGCCAGAGGCGATGAATCGACCGTTGCCAGCAAAGTCCAAAGAGTAGATATCCTGCTCGTGTCCACTGAAGATGTGCTTGATCGTGCGCTGGTTGATATCCCAAACCTAGAACCAATCGCATTAAGTCAGTGATCTTCCCATATGCTGCTGATCCCATATAATCCGAAAACTTACCCGAATCTGCTTATCCTCAGCACCAGTCGCAAGATACTTTCCATCCGGACTGAAGCAAACACTGCGAATGTACAAGTCACCGTCCTTATCGACATTCTCGTCCTGAAGAGTGGCCACGTTCTGACCGGTGGTCACGTCGAAGATTTGAGCCGAGCGGTTGCAGCCTGTAGCCAAGTACTTTCCATCACGGCTGAAGCGCACACAGCAAACAACGCTATCGTGATTCAAGTGGTGCACCAGCTCCACATCGAGAACACGCTGGACCTCAGGGTTGAACACGGCGTACCAATCGGAACCCTCACGCTTCTGCGACGGAGGCAAATCATCGGGGTTCCAGTTTGCCAGCATGTTTCCTGGGCGTTCGGCGGTGCGGCCGAGAGGGGGGTTCGGAGGAGTCGGGCGAGGGATCTGAGGGGATGCACGAGGGTCCGGGTAGGCGATGTGCGTTTGCTGGGGGGTACCTGGGCCTGGGGGAACGCGGCCACGGCCCTTACCAGGGCCCGGGGATGCAGTAGGAGGCGGAGGAGGAGGCCCATAGCCTGGGAGATGAACGATCCAAAGAGTCAGCGGACTGGGTGACCATTTTCATAAACACAACGACATACCGTTCACAGCAGCGCCAGCCGGATAGCCTCCAAAGGAGCTCTGCTGGGGTTGCGGTGCGCCAGGCTGGGCGACCGAAGCAGGCTGTTGAAGAGGATGCTGGGGAGGCTGCTGATCCTGGGGGAGGGAAGGGGCAAGACCGGGGCCACTACCTGGTGGGTTGGTCATGATACCGCCAAACAGATTGCTGGGGCCGTGGCCCAAGGCAGGCGGAGGAGCCTGGGAAGGAGCTGTATGAGCCGCAGCGGGTCCGCCGATGTGGGAAGGGATGGTTTGCACGCCGCGTGACTCGAGTTCGTGTCGCAGCATTCGAATTTCAGCTTCGTAGCTAAAAAAGAAGAAGATACGACGTCAGAGAGGAGTGTTCGAGCTTTCGAGGTAAGGGACGAACTCTTGCTTGATCTTGATCTGCGCCTGTTCCAGCTGATAGACCTTCTGACGGATCATCTCCATCTCCTGGAGTTGACCAGTCACTGCATGATCTGTCAGTTAGATAACATTTCAGCGAATGTCGGAAACCCGTGGAGCTGCAGCCATTGGGGGAATGAGCTGACAGCTGTATAAAACGATTGGACAGGGGGAGGGGAAGCTCTGAGGCGCAAGTGGCCCGAGCATAGGGGAGAGGTAACACAATATGTTGGAAGGGATACATACACTGATGTTCAAATTCACCGGTGTTTCGCGACTGGCTCTCAAACTCCTGGCGCAGTTGATCCAGCAACTCCGTCAGACGGGAGTTGGGAGCGGGTACCATCCCGCGATGAGCGTTGTACATGTTGGGATATTTTTTTCCTTGTTTTTCACAAATCACAGAAGGACAAAACGGATGTTCGGATGGCAGCTCTAGGTCAGCGAATGGGATCGCAACCAAGGTTTTGACCTGGACTCAATGATCTTGATCACTGAGGCTTCAATGCTTGGTGGATAGCACCGCGCAGCTAGCCACAGCGATGGTGGGCGGTACAGTATAAGCTGGGGGATGAGAATGGGGGTGTAGCGGTAAGAGGGGTGGAAGAGGCTGGCAGATGACACTTTAAAGCGGGAAGGTTTGAGTTTGGGGGGAAGGGCGGCAGTGGTTTGACGCGAGAAGCGAGTTCATAGGCGAGAAGCGCGGGTACACTATTTTTTTAATCTTGCACATAATACTTTGTATAACGTATAATAAAGAAAGAAAATGTTCAGGCGATTAGATGAGTACTGTATATACTCTATACATATATGAGACTAGAAGGATATAGGATTCTAGTTAAAAGTCCAAAAGTACTTTGTGAATGCGTATATTGGAGTACATGGATGGACCCAGATCGAGAGGGTTCAAATGTTCATATGAAACCTGTATTTTGTATTCCGGCTGAAGATACCCGAAATACAAAGGAATACTTGGATCTACACCCGCAAGTGCGGGCAGTGGAGGTACCTCTGAGTACGGGAAGGGAAGTGGAACTGGCTCGTGCAGTACCAATGTGGTACAATTACTTGTCATGTACTTTTTGTCATCGCCTGACCTATAAGGCTAAGAGCCACAGCATGGCGCAGGCACCAAGGCATCAACTGTGGCAACCAGGGGTATCGGTGTTCTTTTCTTCTTTTTTAAGCTTCTATCTCTTTTTTTACTCTATAGACCATAAGAGGTTATATGAAGTGATAAAAAAAGAACAAAATTGTACTTTCATATATAACACTATCCATTCATAAAATAACTATATCCCGCATCATACCATCCGCCCCTGGATGAATTGGCTTATTAAGAGGTGGCATCGCAACGGCTGTGGCGGTTCCGCGTTGGTGTGACTATTTTGTTATTCGCCGTGGATCTCCTTTTTTTTGGTTCCTTCAAATACCTCTCAATTCCTCTTCCCTTCCACCCCTCCACTCTATCTGTGCCCTCAATCATGGATATCATTCTCGAATTATGGGACACCTTTATTGGTGATCGCCTCTATTCGGCAGTCCTCCCCGCCTCGCTCTCTTCGTCCATCTCGCTGCCGGCCTTCGTCAATGCGGCCGCGAACACTTCAATGGCCCTTTTTGGACCGGAGCCTTATGTCTATGAACAGGCTACACAGATGATCTATCTGGAGCCCTCGAAATACGCATATCTGAGTGCTTGGCCCAGGAACAACATCTACCGTCAATTTACAAGCTTTTTCCTGATTACTTGGTAATGCGCCAATCCCTTCATTTCTTATCGTCACTTTTCCGCAACACAAGAACTAACAATCAATTAGGCTGTTTGGTCTGCTCGTCTACTTCTTGGTCGCATCGCTTTCGTTCATCTTTATCTGGGACAAGACAACCTACAACCACCCCAAATTCCTCAAGAATCAGATTGGTATGGAGATCAGACAGGCCATGTCCGCAATGCCTCCAATGTCCCTCTTGACAGCACCTTTCTTCGTTCTTGAAGTCCGCGGATACGCCAAACTCTACGACACCACCGCCGATGAGCCCTTCCCGTACTACAGCCTCATCCAAATTCCCTTCTTTATCTGCTTTACCGATTTCTTCATCTACTGGATCCACCGTGGTCTGCACCACCCCCGCGTCTACAAGACCCTACACAAGCCTCACCACAAGTGGATCATGCCCAGCCCTTATGCCTCGCACGCCTTCCACCCACTCGATGGCTGGTCCCAGAGTGTCCCATACCACGTCTTCCCCTTCATCTTCCCTCTGCAGAAGTTCGCTTACGTCTTCCTGTTCGGTTTCATCAACCTCTGGACCGTCTTCATTCATGACGGAGAGTACGTTGCCAACAGTCCTATTGTGAACGGTGCTGCCTGCCACACCATGCACCACCTGTACTTCAACTACAACTACGGACAGTTCACCACTTTGTGGGACCGTCTGGGTGGCAGCTACCGCAAGCCCAACGAGGAGCTTTTCCGCAGAGAGACGAAGATGGGAGACAAGGAGTGGAAGCGACAGGCCAAGGAGATGGAGTCGATCCTCAAGGATGTCGAGGGCGAAGACGATCGCAGCTACACTTCCGACAAGAAGAACCTTTAAAATGACCCGTGGACGACTACATCACGTTCTTCACGACTTCACAATGCTTGCTTGGTTCTAGACTGCAGGGACCAATCCGGGCCCATCATAGACTCCGATAGACGGGCTGTCAGCGCTTTCTTGGCCTGAGTTTTGGGTTTGGGCTTTTGCATCCCTGTTGTTCCCCGTGCCATTTTTTACACTAATTCAAGTACATTAATTCGCTCTGTGCATCTCTTATTTGTTTTAATACTTCAAAAACTGACCACCAGCGCTCTGCCTTGTTGGTGATCTACTCCATTCTGTACATAATGTTCTGTTCTTCTTTTTTCTATGGGCGGTCCAAATGCACTTGGTTGGTCTTTCTACACATTTTTCTTTAATGCGTTGGCAAGTTCAAGTGGTCTTAAGGCCGAAAATGAATGCATATGTATGATACTTTCGAATCTATGAAACCACAGATACCAAACTAGTATAAATTTATCCATAAGATTGAAATTAATATTAAGAGCCACCAGCTTTTTTTTTGTTTCCATCAACTACCCCAGCCCCGAGAGCGATGGACACCTTGTGTACGCTACTGGAGAGTCTGTATGATGACAGCCCGCGATCCGTCAGTCACATGAAACCCATTATCAGCCAAATCCTTCTCTCGACTCGGCCAGACCTCCGCACTAAACTTCCCAGATTCCGCCGAAGCAAGTCGCTTGTGAAGAGCAACAACTCGATTAGCCTGGCTAGAATCCCCACATTCCAGCACCGTAAGCTTAGCCTTCAACCTGAATGCCAGAGTGAGAATGCGGTGATAGAAGATATCCTCAGGCATACAGTCTTCTATCCTGGAACACGAGTATGGAGGTACAAGTGCTAGCTTGGGCTCGAAGCGCCGTACACTGCGTGCAGTGGTGCCGTTGCGGAACTCTGTTTGAGATATGTAGGGCGGGTTGGAGATTAATAGATCACATCCACTTTCTTGGTCGGGTGGTAATGTGTCCAATGCTCCAAAATTTTGGAACTGGGCTTCCAGTATTGACTCAATGGACGGTACTGAATTGTCATTGCCATTCCCGAGGACATCGGCGCGGCGGAAGCGGATGTCTGTGCCTGCGCTGGATGCCAATTGGCCCAGTTGCAGATTATGCTCGAGGTTATCCTGGGCGAGGCTCAATGCTGTAGGACTGATGTCCACTCCTGTTATCTCCAGCTGCTGGAAATGGGGAGCAAGTAATGCGTGCAGAAGAAGTGGTATGCAACCTGTGCCTGTGCAAAGATCAATGACGCGCAAGGGTCTCGCCTTGTTGGGAGCCTTGGACGCGTCTTTACGGTCCAGAGCTATTTCACGGACTAATTTGGCCGCTTGATATGTATATGATTCAGTTTCTGGCCTGTGAAAGGTTGTCAGCGAGAAATTTCGCTCTTTTAGAAAGTCGATATACAGACCTTGGGATCAAAACGCCTCTTCGGCAAAGAATCTCCAAGTCGCCAAACGGCTGATCTCCAAGGATATATTGGAGAGGATATCCTCTAGATCGCATCTGGCACATAGATCTCAATCGGCTCCTCCATCCCACCTTGGATGAAAGAGACTGGCTATCGCGAACTGCCCGCTCACGTAGCCAGCGAAGTTCATTGCGAGCAGAATCGATCGTGCGACATTCCTTGAGAAGTATAGGCAGAAGATGATTTTCCCGTTGGGCTTTTATGATGACAGAAAAGGGGATTCGGGGCATTATGGGAATTCGAGGGGTGGTCGGTCGAGGAACTTTGGTGCCAAGGAAATTCCACCTGTTGATGCCAAGATACAAATCATATACATCTAGCAAAGAGGCAATATATTTTTCAGTCTTATTGTTTACGTGGGAAATGAAGGGACATTAGATAGTTGTTTCAATTACCCCAGGGTAGGAGAAAATATCATCGTCCACTGCTAAAGCCCAATCGCGGTGGGTATACAAGATTTTTTTTTCCATAATCTCATCCCAGTTGAGATCATTGTCGTCCTTGCCTACACAGAAGCCCTAGGTGGGTTCCACCTGGCGTGGTTTTTCTTCAATCTGGAGCTTCTCTACAAAGTCCTTGTAGACACTTCTCTCGTCCATCATATTCTGTGGGGCATGGAGAAGCTGCGCTGCATCGGACTGAGAGACACGACCCAATCTCTAAAGCAGGTCAGACACCATACCAGGGCTACCCTCGACAGTGATATCGTAAGTATCAGAGACTATGTTCACTTACAAGTTAGCATAGACCCTTTGAATACTGACGATATTCAGAAGGAATGGGAAGGGACCAGATTGTGTAGATTGGAAACGTTCACGTACTGGACTTGACGGAGGAGGCAGGGCTAGAGGCCTCCACAGAGAAAGTAGCAGCGGGAGGTAAAGGAGGAAGGTGAGAAAGAGGCTGGCTAGTATGTATACATGTATAGGCTTGGATTTTCGCACAGAGTGGAAGTGTTTTTTTCTCCATTTTGCTTCGATGCGATATCAGAGGTTTGCGCAGTCAGAACCAACCCCTTAGTTGTAATGATCAGGCTTGACTCGCTGTCTCCCTGCCTCTATGGCTTTCACGCATCAGCTAGGCTACAGTCGCCGCTATTCTTGCCAGAGCTCGGGGTGCTTCACCCGGTCTCGACATACTTCGGTGATTGCAAATATGTCGCTTGTTCCAATTTTGTCCAGGTATCCACCCACCCGTGCGACCATCTAGTTCTCGCCGAATATCACTTTGCCATGCGGAGAACGAGTGAAGACCATCGGCACTACACATTGGGGATCGGAAGTGTAAGAGCTTTCAGGTATTGCGGTAACCTTCGTGGATGCAGCAAATGGGATATCGTTATCGGCAGCCATTGTTAGTCTTCGAATGTTGATATCGAAGGGTGTTCTGAAAGTGGAGAGGATTCGGTGTGTATGGGAGTGGAATGGGTGATGGGATGAGGATTGATATTGATTGGGGAGGTGGGAAAATGGGAAGGAGACCTGGAGGTAGGAAAGAACTGAGAAATAAAAACACTCCCGAGCGTAACCCAAGTCAAGAAAGACACTTGAATTCGATTAAGATTTATGTAATGAAACGCCATATAGATCCTATTAACTAATACTAGATGGGTTGATCTCTTCTGGTAGACACATATATAGCCTGTCATGTTTGACCAGTCATATGTGTAGACAACTTTCTACTCTACATGTACACTGCTATATTTGGATCAAGCATTGAATAATTCAGATGCCGTACGTTTCATAACACATAACTAGAGGATTAGGAGTATGACAGAAAAGAAATCTAGGTATCTTCCCAGACTCCAAATACACCACAGGATGCAAGATATATACATAAAAAGAAAAGTATGTGATCATCCAACGGCCTCACAGAACCAACATAGCTCCAACTCCGGCAAGGCCGACAGCCAGGTGTTTTGGCATACCTGTCACCCTGGGAAGGGCCATATTCCCTGTAGCAGTGGCAGTAGCCGAGATGCCGGTGGAGCCATGCGGACCTCCAATGCGAGCAGCGGCGCCACCAACTGGCGCGGTCGTCACTGGGTTCGAGACTTCACTCGCACCGGGGACGGAATCACTGCCAGTCCCAATCTCCAAGATATCACTCTCGGTGACGTTGAATCTGGTGTTGGCGAGGGAGATTTCATTATTGGCGAGATCATACACCACGTACGCACTGCGGAGGAAGGTATCTCCCAGGACTGCCGTGCTGCCTCCCGCGGGTACGATACCGAAAACGCAGGCTCGCTTGCCGTTCTTGAAATACAGATCGCCAACATCGATAATCATCTCGTCGATGCCCACGTCGATCGTCGGGGATGAGAAAGTGTAACTGATGGTGATTTCCTGCTCTGCTATGCTGCATTCAACATAGGCAATACCGCTGTCCGCCTCATAAGAAACTCCGAGATCGTCGTAGATTTTCTGAACAAGGGCGTCTGGAAGGTATGAGAGAGAGCTTCCCGAATCCAGTAACACGCCCACAGGAATGGAACTCGAAGAAAGGGCTATCTCGCTGGATGAATTGGTGATGGAAACGTCAGTGAGCGCAATGATGAACTCCGCATACTGTCCCTGGAGCTTCTGGATGGGAACTGTCTGCAGGGTGCCGTGGTATTTCTTCGTGTTGACTCCACCAAACAAAATCGAGCCTGTGCTCGCTTCCAGGTCGTTCAGCCAGAGACTGTAGGCATTTGATTGGATTATTCCTTTATTGACCATTGCCTTGGGCAAGTTGGCATAAGGCGCGTCTCCATTTCTGCCAACCTGAACTTCATTCGCAGGATATCCTATGCCCAGGACACCCTCTGTACACAAATATTCATGTCAGCTCTATAATAATTGGCGTTATATCTATCGCGAATCACTCACCCGGAGAACCAGACGAAAACCCAATGCCGAATTGGAAGTCTTTGATAGTTGTGCCTCCGATGGTAAGAGTGTCGGAACCATAGTCTCCGACGGCGCTAGATCCATCGGCATAGCTAATATTGAAATCAGAGTTCACAAATGAATATGAAGAGGAAGCACTCGAGTTGAAAGTACCCGATTGGGCACAGGCTGCTTTGGTTGATTCACAGAGAGTAGAATTTGGCGTGTTGCACCACAGATCACTACTTCCAGTGTCGAGAACCAAGCGTAAACTCTGCTTCGGGGTACCCAGCGTGACACTGCAGAAATATAAAGTCTCCTAGTCAGAAACATTAGCATCAAAGTGATGATGTTTCTAAATATATGCGTACCTCGTTGTCTAATGCTTGACTGACTGTATCGGCACGTTTCCTCCTTGCTTGATCTCTAGCGACGGGGTCGAGAACATCCTTTCGTTGAATATCCATTTGAACCACTGCGGGATTATCTCTTCGATGAAGACTTATACCCCAGACTGGCAGTACTAGGCCAGTGACCAATAAGATCCATGCATTTTTCATAGCGCCGATCGTCCTCGAATTCGGCCGAAATGTGAGAGATCGACAATATATTCGTTGAACTGTTTGATAGATGTTGTCCCAAGAGGCTGAGTAGTGACTTGGAGCAAGTTAGACAAAGATAAAGAGAAAAAAGAAAATTGGGGCAGTGATATCTAGGATCTAGATGTGTCAATGAGTTATTCGGTCCAGCCGGCTAGGCAGGACCACTTTATGTCTTTTACTCTGCCTTGATAAATTTACTACGGGTTAAGGCGGAATCTTCATGTGCTGTCGTCACCAAACATAAACCCGTACAACCTATAAGCGCAATCCACCACTTTACCTAATATATTAGTCCATAATCTTCGTCTTTGATTCATATTCAATCTTAGAACAAAATAGAATTATACAAGTTGGAAATCCTTAGCATACGTAGGCTACATACGTAGTGGATGATGACGCGGATGGCTCCACTTCAGCCCACTTTGGGCTTCGGAGTCTATACATATCTGACTCGTATACTTATATTTTAAGGTGTACATCTTACTATACAAATCATTCACTACTTTACTATTTTACAATCCAGACATCCTACTTGCCACTCACAGACCCATCGCATCCCGAATCTGCCGCATGGTCTCCCGACTGTTGGCCCGGGCTGCTTCGGCTCCATCCTCAGCCACTGACTCCAGGTACCCCGTCTTATCCTCCATGATCGTGATATAACGATCCCGGATCTCCTGCAAATGATATGCAATCCTGTCTGCAACATGCTCCTTGAGCGAGCGGAGACTTGCGGTGTGGAAATCAACCGCAATCTCTTGGCATGATACACCTTCCAGGTGACTTAGGATCTCGATAAGATTAGACACGCCAGGTCGAGAGATCGGGTCGTAGGTAATGTTTGCTTCCGAGTCTGTTAGGGCTACCTTGACTTTCTTGCGGATTTCGGCCGGTGAGTCGGTAAGGATAATCCGGGATTTCTCATCGGCGTGCGATTTAGACATCTTTGAGGTGGGTTCCTTAAGGGACATTACTCGTTTGGCAGGGGCTAGTCAAGTTAGTGTATGGTCTGAATCATTATGTTCCTTCTGGCACAGGCAAGCTGTTATCTTACATATCAATGCCTCTGGGATGGGGAAGATAGGCCCGTAGAGGTGGTTGAAGCTGTTCGCGGTATATCTGGAAAACTCTAGGTGCTGTCTTTGGTCTTCTCCAACGGGGACATGGGTAGCTCTGGTGATCATTAGTAAAGATCGCGTTAATATAGATGAGCAACATACCTGTGCACAAGGATATCAGCAGCTTGTAGTACTGGATAGGAGAAAAGGCCAAGTCGAAGTTGTGCCCGTGCTGTAGAGTCATCAAGTGTGGCATCGTCTGGTAGTTGCAGTTTACTCTGGAGGGTGTCAATAGAATGGCTTTCGTATATAAAAATTATAGGGCCGCTCACCTTCCACTGTGTCATGCGCGACAGATACCCCATGGAAGCTACCGTGCTGAGAATCCACATCAACTCAGTATGTGCTGGCACCTGATGAATGTCAATATAAGGTCTCCAATGTGTTTAGCAGCCGACAGGTATAAGACGGAACCTACACCGGACTGGTAGAATATCGTAGAGCGCTTAGGGTCCAGGCCCACAGCAAGCAACGTCGCAAAGGCCTCCTTCCTCCATCTCTTCAATTGGGCTGGGTCTTGCGGTACTGTCAAGGCATGTAGATCAACAATAGAGAAAAATAGCTTGGTTCCTTCGGCTGCAGTATCCTGGAGCTTCACCCATTGATGTAAAGCTCCTAGATAATTGCCCAAATGAGGCACGCCAGTGGGCTGAATCCCGGAAAATATAATAGGCTCATGTGCTGGTGGTGTGGTGTTTGAGCTGTTCCATCGATGGCATCTCCTTGGGAGAAGGGAGAGCCCGCTTGGACGGATCTGGAGATGTTTCGCACACAATGACCCCAGCGAGGCAAATTCACGTCGCATCGCGTTGGTAGACATCTCCAACAAACGCTCGATCGATGTGAGAAGGAATTTTTTTTTATGTGCAATCACTTCGTACTGCCGTAGTCCCTAATGACCCCGAAAAACGCGAAACGCGATATGTATCACGTGATTGACATCGTACAATGTGTCGGCACAAGATGGTAATGCCCAGATGGGCATCATTGTCTACACCTATAGGCTAATTTCACATATTGCAAATAATTTCGGAGCACGTCTATCGGGGACCCGGTTGTGGCGAGCAACCTCGTTCAGTATACATAAGCTTCCTTTCATCTGGGCTTAAATGAGAATAGTAAAACAGTAAAATACATATGGCCTAGATCAAAAAGGCTTTTGAATATAATGAAGACAGCGCCTGCAGCAAAGACACCAAGTCCGGATGTTCACGGGTATACAATTTCAGCAGTAGATCGCCATTCCATCTATAAACCCTTGCGCTCTCCGAATCGCTCACTGTTCAAAGTATCGAATATCGTGCCGGGGGCCGAGTTGTCCTTCCGCTGACCGAATTGCGCAAGCTCGGGGCGGAGGGCCTCTTCCACCTCGGCGACAGAAGCGTCCATAGCCTTACCAGCATCTGTTATAGAATCGATGGTTAGTACCTTGACCAATAAAGACGGCCATGCAGACGAAAAAAAGGAGAAAAATAGTGTAACCATACCGAGACTATCGTGTTCCCAGATATTTGCCTTCATACCGACTCCGTAAAACGCGTGCTTTCGGAGGAATGCAAGCCACGTCTGCACCGCTTGCGGGTTTCCATCCTTGATCTGAACCAGTCGGCGGAGGGTGATACGTTCAAAGTTCTCCTGGCTCTTCTTGTGCACGAAGTTGCTTCGGGGGACGGTCCAGCGTTCAACGATGCGGGGGAGAGGCACAGGCCCGGACACGGGGAGGTTGAGGTAGTAAGCGGCACGGATGGCGAAGTCGGTGAAGAACTCGACGTTACGGACGCTGTATGATCGCAATTGAAGGTCGCAAACTGGGAGGCCGTACTCTGCCTTCCTCCGCAAAGGACGTAGGTATATGGCTTGCACGCTTCGTGGCAGTCGGCTCTCCTCGCCGAATGCTCCTAATCGTTCAGACCTAACCAAACTATGAGTAGTGATCTTCGATATATTTTGGCATTGAGCCAATCGTATTGGATACTCACCATTCCTTAACGCTAGGCTTGGTGATCTGCTCGGCTTCCGTCGATCTGAATTGTCTCAATTAGCCACAAACCCAAATTCTACTAGATTTGAAGAGTGTCTCACGCTACTGGAGTAGTTGATGCAGGGGCGGTAGCGGCGGGGGTAGCGACGGGAGTCGCGACAGGTGTAGCGGCAGGAGCAGCGGCAGGAGTAGGGGCCACAGGGGCAGCTTCTGCAGGAGCGACTGGTGTAGGGGTCGGTGTTGGGTCTTGAGCGGGTGTCTTCTCTTGCTCCGGCGGAGTTGGCTGGGTTGGGGATGATAGAGAGCGGAATGGCACAGGCACCTTCCAAGGAGCTATTAGCGCGTGAATCGTGAATCAAACAAAATGAGAACATACCCTAAGGTGTTTGCTCACTCCAATTAAGGAGCGCGATGTGTATGAGAACATTGTTAATCGTGATTTTGAGGAAGATCCGTTGTTGTTAGCGGATGGGTTTTTTCGGGGAGCGACTCTAGGGCGGTGAGTGGGGAATTTGGATATAGAGAAAGCGACTGAGACTACGGAGTACTCCGGACAGTGATATATTCTTTATTTATTATCCTAATATTGATACAATAATGACAAAGGCCGATAGACTACCTAGCTCCCAGGGATTGATAATTTATATAATGATTAAAACCCTGAGTGTGCGATCTATGCCCTATGTTACCGGCTATATAGACATGTTCCCTAAGAGGTGATCAACTCTCTTGCTCCAGCCTTTTAGATGGAATATTCTGCTCAAAGACGCCTAGAGTTATCATAGTTATCCTGCTTATCTCAAGTGATTTCTATTATGAATCAGATTACTGCACCCCCGCCAAATTAGCGACCTAGGCAATGGAACCATGTGACTCCGCACTTAGAAACGTCGCCTTTTTGGCACAATCCTACCTTCCACTTTATATATTCTACTTCTTTAAATCTGTGTATACGACAAGACTGACTTCTGCCAACATGACCAAAACAGACCTTTCCTCGTTCGAGCGGGCCAACGAAGCGGTTTCTTATCTCAGAGCCAAGTTGCCAGAGGCTCTGCAAAAGCCTCATGTCGCAATTGTATGTGGCTCAGGACTAGGAGGGCTTGCAGATACTATTGACCCCGAGTCACGGATTGAATTTGATTATGCATCCATCCCCCACTTCCCTCGCTCAACAGGTTTGGTCATCTATCTCCTTCGGGTTAAAGAGAGGTTCTAACATTGCACAGTGGTTGGACATGCTGGAAAGTTGGTTTTTGGTCTTCTCGGCCAGAAAATTCCTGCAGTGTTGATGGTTGGCCGTGCTCAGTCAGCTTAAGCCCTCATTTCTGCTTGTAAAATCATAGCTGACTTTGGCTTAGTTACTACGAGGGGCACTCGATTGATCAGGTGTCATTCCCAATCCGAGTGTTCAAGCAGTTGCAAGTGAATACGGTTGTCTGTACGTTCTACATGATCCTTGATATGAAGACTGATGTTACAGAACGACAAGAATTAATGATGTTTGGTAGTGACCAATGCGGCCGGAGGCTTGAATTCTGAGTATTCTGTGGGGGATATCGTTCTACTGAATGATGTAAGAGAAAACCCCCATCGAAGCTATCGAGTGGAGTAATTCTAACACCGATTTACAGCATCTCTTCCTCGCAGGTCTGGCAGGAACTCATCCATTGAGAGGACCCAATGAGGATGAATTTGGAGTGCGATTCCCACCGCTATCTGACGCCTATGACCTTGAGCTCCGTCGTCATGTGCATCAGTCATGGAAAAAACTCATTTCACCGGAAAGCAAGAGAAAGTTGCATGAGGGTGTATATGCGTTCTGCGGAGGTCCCACGTAAGTCACCTCACCGCAATCCCTTTGCACTCGATTCTGATAGCATCAAGCTACGAGACAAGAGCCGAAAGTCGCATGCTTCGAATGCTTGGTGCCGACGTGGTTGGAATGTCCACAGTACCGGAGATTGTCACCGCCAGACATTGTGGCTTGCGCGTGCTTGCCTTTAGTTTGGTCACCAACAAGGTCGTCTTGTCTCCGGTGCCTCGGGGAGATGACGATTTGCTCCAGAATAAAGCAGCAGGTGAACTGAGCGCTCTTCTAGAGGAGGGCATGGCAGGACATGAAGAGGTCCTTGAAGCTGGCCGCGAGGCTGCTAATGACATGCAGGTAAGATCATTACATCAATTCTGGAAGACAATGAAATTGACATCGATCCAGAAATTGGTTGTCGAAACCCTTGTGGATGTCTTTGATCAGGTTTAAGACTGGGCTTGACGTGGATGATTGCATATGATGATCTCAGATCGTGACGATCTGAGTCCAGCTTATTAGGATCCTAGCAGAGGCGATGTTGTTGATATGTCGGCCATGTTTAACATGGAGTTGTTGCCGTTCCTGGCATGGTTTGACGAAAGTAGAGACCGAAAATTCACTTGTTCTTCCGGGTTCTCTTTGCCTGCAGGTCCTTGTAGAAGGATTTCTTTCCGCTTGTTTTGCTGGCTTGAATATCCCTGTATTTGGACTGGAAGCGCTTGGTGGCACGCTCGAGTGCCAATGTTTCCTCGACGAAGTTCTTCTTGCGGTCCTTCTTGACGATACGATTGCTGAAGAACTCGGTAGGACCCTGGATGATGGTTCCGACCTGGGAATATTCAGGCGGTTTGGCCTTGCCATTTTCCTTCTTGTAGTGACGCTTGGGATCCAGCACAGAACGCATCCGGATGAGCTGCAGATCTCTCTTAAGCTCTGGGGTCATTTCTGTCTTCGGGAGGTTGAACCACTCAGGCCCAGCAGTAGGCTTGTCCTATCAAGGGCGATAATGGTTAGCAATTGGCCACAAATATCGGACACCGAGAAAATATAGTAATTGTGATGAATGCTCAGAGTAACTATGAATAAAAAAGGCTCTCACTGGTGCAGCACAGCCCAAAACGGACTGCTGACGCCGCATCAAGCGCTTCGCGTTGGGAATATCTTCCTCATAGCATAAAAAAGAAAGGGCAGGGAGGCAATTGGGCGACTCACGGTATTCACTTTCTTGATCTCAACCTTGCGAAGAGAGTTGGCCAACTCCTTCTGTTTTTGGTCAATGATCTTTGCAGCATCGACAGTAGCAACATCGTCTCCCTGGCGAATGTATGTTTCCAGCGAGGACCCAGGTGTCAATTTCGGGATCCTAGTAGATGTTAGCCTAGATCCTAGCTTGTCAAATCTTAAAAAGGTTTCCATACCTGATAGATGCCAGATCATCAGTCTGGGTGCTCAGAGTACTGGGACCCTTCAGGCGGGTCTCTGCCTCGAGAAGCAGCTGCTGAATCTGATCATCAGTCAGGTCCTCCTGAACATCCTGAACACATGTTGAGTCAGCCATCCCTGGTGAATAGGGAGGGTAGCAAAAGCTCAAAAAGTTTCAAGGTGAGTGGAGAGAATTTATATTTTTTCTTAGCTTTGCTTGCTCTTTCCCGGGGCCGGAAAAACGTTTGTGAGAAATTTCTGCTTGCGAGAGTGGATCTGTGTCATGTGATTATTGGTAACTAATTATTTAGTACCTAGTACAAGCTAATTGGTTTATTTAACGCGTAGTAAGTAAGTACTAGTACTTACTTCTCAAGTACCGTCCGAACGGTACAGCTGTATTGAAAGTCGAAGGTCCCCGATTCACCTATCAGAGGTATTTCTCTAAATATGCCCAAGTTATAGATACAAATGTACATTATTTCCATTGCGACAGAGTAATACAATGATATAGAACCCCTTTACTATTCGAAATTAGACCTAATTATATGCAAGAGAGACATATACTACCATCTTAGATATAAATCCCTTATATCACATCCATACATTGTATAGGTATTATACAGCATCGAGCTCGGAGGGGTGTGGCTCGGGGGAACGTCAGACAGCTGAACACCAGCTTGGCACCCAACGCGCGACCTGGAACACCACGAGCTTCGTATAGTCTCTGACTGTGACACTTATCTAATTATCGGTTTTATATCACGTCAATTCTTTCTTTGTTCTAAAATATTCCACCTACCTCCCCGCATCTCACACCAGATCGCGTCGCATCCTATCGGTCCCTCCAGAGCACCATCTGCCCGACACACCCTAGAGGACGCATATAGCTCAACCCCAAAGCCAGCATGGAGCAATCCCCTCAAGGCACTGCGCAGCAGAGCAGACAACAGCCGCAACCGATCTATGATGTTAGAAATGGGGGTCATTATGGTAGGTTCCAAGTTTACCATTACGCCAAAGCTATGTTGTACGCGCCATAACTACGCATCGCGGTCCGTCAAAGGGCCACTCTGCTGGTATATTTGCTACTTCTTGGCTATACAATCGATATAAATGGAGACTGACAATAACCGTTATTATAGGTGCTAGCGCAGCGGTATGTCCATCGCGGTGAGCCGCGCGAGTCTTACAGCCTTACCTTCCCTCTACGATGATCGCGCAAAATGTCTTGAGTAGCAACTAATGAAAGCTGCATTAAAATAGCTCTCAGCGCAAGGTTATGCGCCAGTTGCCGAGTTGTACACTGGTACCTGGGCCAATGTAAGCGCCCAAGATGACCAAACACATATTGAGCTCGATACTCACCAGAACTAGGTAAACCAAGGCCTTCAAGGAACTGCGCGTGATATCCTAACGACCTACTGGCAACATGTCATCAATCACCTGGAATCAGACAACCACGACTACAAGATCCACCAGTTGCCATTGGCCCGCATCAAGAAGGTGATGAAGGCGGACCCGGAGGTCAAGATGATATCCGCTGAGGCGCCCATCTTGTTTGCCAAGGGCTGTGATATTTTCATCACTGAGCTGACTATGCGCGCCTGGATCCACGCCGAGGACAACAAACGTCGTACCCTGCAGCGATCCGACATTGCCGCCGCTCTGTCTAAATCGGACATGTTTGACTTCCTGATTGATATAGTTCCCCGCGAAGAGGCAACCTCCCATGCTAAGCGGTCGAGTCAGGCTGCTGGTACCGCCCCAGGACCTTCAGCTGCTCCCGGTCAGCTGCCCCCTGCTCCGCATGGAGTTCAACCGCACCAGCAGCACATGGGCCCTGCCGATTACGCCTCCCTTGGCCAGCACGGTATGCCTCAGGAGCAGGAGTACCGCCCGCAACCTGCCATGTACCCCGGAGCCGTCCAATCAGACCCATCTGCGGCATATGGTCAACCTCAATCCCAAATGTTCGAGGGCATGTATGCCTACCCGCATCTCCCTCCCCAGCAGGTACGTAGTTGTCACATCTCTCATCTTCAGCAGACAAGCTAATCTTGGTTGTCAAGTGAACGTACCGTCCGCACATGGTCCAGTCCGTCATTTTTATTCATGTAGTTGATGCGCGTTCAAAGGCGAATTTTGGTCCTTTTTTTTATTTCTCACTGTTTTTACTGTTTTTATTCGATTCTCTTATTATTTTATTTTCCCACGCAAGGCAAGGGCAATGCTGTAGTGGTGATTGAGCGACTCCCATCTTTCTGATCTTCCAGGATTCTTATATGTATGGAATGAGAAGGTTTGATCCTGGCCATAAAAGAGAAAAGATGTCGCATTCTAAAGACTCTGTGATATTACTTTCTTGATTATTAGTAGTATCATGTATGTCCTACGGCTGGTGTAGGTCTTGGGAGTATGCCGAGATTACAACCTGAGAGACAAGAGACATCCTCAGACGGTTCGGAGTCTTCAATGTCATAAGGCTTATTTATATATGCTTCGATGGGCCCCAAGACGTACTTCATCCCAGGTTATACATAGAAAAGTGGTTTTCGCCAATTAAGCCTTTTCTTGCTTTCTGCTATCTACCTACCTATGCTGCATAAAACTAAGATGAAAGAGACATCCAACCAGAATTTCTGAGAAGCTCACTGAAAATACACTGGGAAGACTACTGAAAGACATCACAAGCACAAGGCCGCATAAGCGGCCTTGTATTCTTCTTCTTATAGGTAAACATTGCATTACACATAACACACTCATAGATTTATCCAGTCTTCTTGAAGCGCGATGAAAGAGTCGCAAATTTATCCACCTTGGTGGGGGCTTGAACACTGCGTGTGAGCCTATTCGTAACTAGTTAGCGGGCAGTTCACGGCAATAAGATGTAGACTCCAAACCGTACTTTTCAAGCAAAATGGGCCCTTGCATGGCGTCAACACGTCCATATTTCTTGTTTCTCGTAGAAATGTCGTAAAACTCGTCTGCGCTGTCCGCTTGCATCAACTGCACGGTTTGCTGTAGCTCGTCGAGGTTCTCGCGAAGAATCGGGACATTTAAGCTATCCACAAATTCGGCAAGGTATTCAACATCTTTTGCTAACGCTGCCACTCCGTTGGGATTGATTTTCTTCACATCTGGCGACAATGGTTGCGCCTGTATGGCCAGTCAGTAAGTTTCTGTTTCGATGGATTAGGGTCTATAATAAACGCACCAGAATCATGTTAGCAGCATGGCTAAGGGCGTCAAAGTAGATGAGCTCTTTGATCTCCGTCGGCAGACCCAACAACGTGGAGTTCATGATGTTAGACAAGAAACGAGTCAAGGTTTGCATGTAGTTGCTCGGCTCTGTGGGAGGTGTAGGTGTCATCCACTCGTACTCTGCTGTCTCGATAAGGTCATCGATTTTGGAATTGACCACCTCGAAGATACGCTTCTCGGCCGCCTTCTTGTTGCTTTTGAACTTTTCAGTGGCCCTCAACGCAATTGAGATGCCGGTGGAGTTCTGTGATCGGGCTGCTGCTAATAAGAGTTCCAGCTCGCGGCAAGCTAGCTCGAAGTGTTCCAGGTTGATCAGAATCTGAACGATTTGACCTAGATATTGCGAGGAAAGACGTTCCACTAAAGTGTCACAGACTTCGTGTGAAAGGAGGTCATCCAGATCCTACTAGGTTAGTTGTTGAGTCATGGGTCTTGAGTGTTGGTTCGAACTCACATTCTTCAGTGTCTCATCAATCACATTTGTATTAGCGAAGCCGTCACTCGCGAAGAGATAGAATTGGCTCAGGAAATTATGGATATCAATGCAACACAGCGGATACATTCGGGAGAATGGTAATATGCATGGGAATCTAAAAAAAAGTCAATGATCAGCTAGGTCTGAATAAGGACCAATCGGCACTGGCTGATTTACAACTTACACTTGTTCCTCACGAGGTTGATCGGGGCTGTACCAGCTGACGCTAAGGACTTTGTCGTACTCCTCTTGGGTCTGTATGGGCATGGGCATATAATCGTCCGTTGACACAACCTGACAGTGTCAGCATTTGAAATAGATTGGGAGGGGAGCAACCGTACCTCCTGGAAATCGTCACTGAATCTTTTCTTCAGAAGCTCGGCATATTTGCCAAAGAGTGTCAGCAAGAAGTCATCAAAGACCCGCACGGGGAAGTTCCATGTCTGTTATATGGATATCAGTCATTTGAGCTCATGATATTAGAGAAGGGTCTACCTACATTCATCGTCTGCATGAATAGAGCAATTAGATTCTTAATGCTGAGAATGCTTTCAGCGTTGTCGACTTCATGAAGTGCTTTCGATATCAACACTACAGCCCCTTGGCACATCGAATCCCACAGCTCATCAATCTATTCGGAGGCATGAGTCAGATCATTGCTGGAAAGGCCCTCCTTGGAAGGAGAGTAAAAGGAAGGGAAATATGGTTTCTTACATCGACGGATGACCTAAGATCGGGGGCCCTTTTCATTGTGGCCCGTTCAACAATGGCAAATCCAGCCATCTCTTCCAAGAGATTGTGCAGACTAGAACCATCTTCATCAACAAGAGTGATAGAAGACGGAAGCAAGAGTTCTTTTTGTTTTCGGCGGGTGGTTGCGTATTCAATTCGGAATTTATCCATATGTCCCAAAGATTGATGGATATGCAAGCACTCGAACAGCGGCGTGAAGTCAACCTGGAGATCTTCATTCTCGAGTAGGTCATACTCTTCATCTTCATCGGCCACCAATTCGATCGCAGAATTCAAATTGAAATGCTCTAGATAAGGGATTCTTTCCGCTCTTTGTTTTTGTCTTGTCTTTCGCTGGTCTGTGTGGAAGAGTGCAATTTCCCCGAGGTATTGAGACATTTCTCGGATGCGATAAAGCCAGGTGTTCAGATCTGACATCACTGCTTCCGCGATAGCTCTCTGTGTCGCTGGAACTGAGCGTTGTATCATGACTGCAATCTTGTATTGCGTCACCCCCTTCAGATGGACATTTTGTAATTCCTCCAGCGCCCGCAACGCTGCGTAGTGGTTTTTCTTTGCCAAAAGATCATGGACTTGGTTGGCTAGACGCAGCACCTCCAAGCAATCCTGAATCGCACGACTGGTCTCATCAATGTTCTGTCGGTGGCCACGCGACTCCACCAGTGCTTTCTTCTGCTCAGCCAGGCGTTCGGTACTGGTTTGAATAGACTGATTCAAGTCCAGAATCTCTGCTGTCAAGCTCACTGTCCCCTCTCTAATCCGAAGCAGTGAATTGACAGAGGAGACGAACTCCTGGTGGTTTGTGTTGCATATGCTTTCGATCTCGGACTCCTTGTCGCCGGCAAACCGGGACAGTGACTGCAGGAGTTGTGGAGTGCGATTCCCAACACTGTAATCTCTGATTGAAGGAATAAGCTGATCAAGATAGTCTGTATCGGAGGGTGATATGATAATCTAAGGGCAAGAAAGTCAGTTAAGGTACATCCTCCAACGTGCTCGGCTGGCTCACTTGGTTCAAAACATGTGGCTCATTGAGCGTTGGAGCCATGGGTGGCATAATGGCTCAGCTTCATAGCCGAAGGGAAGCCCAATAGTCAATACTTCCCACTTGCTAGGTTTGCAACCTTATCTAGAGTAGATGATCTCAAGCTTATAGGTACTCATTGACGTCCACAGGCGGTCAGACGTTCGATCTGCCACCAATGTGCATTACCGCCTTTGAATGGCTATTTGCCAAGATTAATGCCTGATATTTCAAGTGTTGATGCCTGAATTATGTCTGATCTAGACCGCTTTTGACGTCGCTCTATACGGTGTACTATAAACATAAACATTCTCTATAATTAGAGCTCTTCCGACCGTACAAATCTCCATATTGATGTGATTGAAGCTATTCTTACCTTGCAAATATCTATGCTCACCCGATTCTAGGCGATTTGAAACCTCTTTGACCGCGTAAGTCTCCCTATTCACCCCTAGGCGTTGAAGCATAAATCTTTATATTTGACGAATCTAAAGCGATCCTCGCACAAATCTCTATATTACCAAGCCCTAGGCGTTAAAGCTGTCCCAATCGCATATACCTCGATCTTGAAGTCATATCCGACCACTTCCGGAACATACAGAAACACGTAGAATGAATACCTAGTATAGATGAGAATATCAACCGGACGAAAGTCGCTACGAAAAGCTTCAATCCTGTTTACCTCGGGTACCCAAGGTCATCCATGGATGTCTACAGAACATTGGCGCTAATCCTATTATGTACTAGCCTTGCACTAGCGTGAACCTTCAAATATAAACTCCGAGGACGGGTTTGCTACTATGATAGACAGCACGACAGAGAGTGCAGTTGCTGCAGTCTGAAAGAACACAACCATATTAGCTGATTTAAATTATGATGCATCGTGTGCTGGAAAGTTTACGGGCTAACGTTTCTGACCGAGACAGACCTAGCAATGAGTGCGCTGGCAAATTTACGGTTTTTGTGTCCATGGCAGCTAGCCGGAAGAGATTGCTGGGGTAGGTAGTACGTTTGTTTGTAGCGCTTAGTCGGCGCATGTATGAAATAGATGAGCTAGAAACCGTGACACCCTTTATAAAGTAGATTTCCCCCCGTCGCCAACGACTTTTCGATTCTCCTTTTCAAAATCCCCGTCGCTATTCGCCCCAGAGGTCGCTTCATAAACTTTCTGAACTTTCTGCATCTTCAATCGCTACGTTGCGCCCCTCCGCTCTCGTGGACATCCTTTTCTAGCTTGTATGTCCCAGGATTGTCTTTTTAACACTACCGTCGGCTCACTTTCGCCTTGCTTTAGATTCAAACATGGAGAGGCCCTCGTCAACTCGAGGTTCGCCATCTGAGCAGCTGACTGCTTTCGACCCTATTGGGTATGAAGCTTTCGCTCATCGGGGAAATCCTGTTCCGTTTCCTGGTGTGGGATCTGTCCGCCCGATCGGGTAAGTGCTTCGTTTATACATACGTTGAATAAAAAGCCCTAATAAATTTTGACGTTACAGTGATCCGTTTGCTAATTGGTCCAACGAGTTGCGCATGGCGTCGACCATAACTTCTCAAACGACCCCTACAAGCTCTGCTTCCGGCTATGCCTATGCGCCCCAGGCGTTCGAACACTCCAATGCCTTGGCTCAAATTGCGCCCGCAACTCTTGACGTAACTCTTGACCAGGCAAACACCCATGCCTCAGGCAACCGGTTTGAGTACTCTTCAACTTCCTCACAGCTTTCTCCTACGAATGCTGGTTCTGGTGGAGTGCGATACTCGCCTTCTCATGTCCAGGCATCACGGTCTGTGAATCAAATGCAGTACTTGCCTCATGCGTCGACTCACAGACGTATGCATTTGGGTGATCCACGCTACCTGCTTTCTCCTGTTCAGACAGCTATTGCCAACACTCGCTATTCACCATCCCGTGAGCAAATTAGTTATGAATATAGCCCTACCCCGGCTTTCATATCCAACTTGTTCGCAACCACTCACGATCCCGTAACTGGAGATGCAAATGCTGCGCCTGCGAATGCTGCGTCCCCAAATGCACCAATCCATGGAAACATCGATCACCAAGCTGGTTGCAACACTGGTATCACCGCTTCACGCTCCTTCAGCGGTGGAATTCATGATGCTACTGAGAAGAATCGATCCTTTATCGTGCACAATGTCTCTCTCGACACTTCGCACCGCTCTATCATTATGATGTTCCCTGTAAGTTGCAACACTAACTTGATCATAGGATAAACAAAAGCTGACTTTATCAAGATCGAGGAGTATCCTTCCCTTGAGAATGTTTGCCTCAAGCAGCTTGGGACCAAGGGCGTGTTCTCGTTTTCGTTTGGCGATCTTCGAGAAGCCATCAATGCCATGAACAAAATTCGCTCAACTCGTCCTGGATGGCGCGTCTTCCCGTCCACTGCCAGAGAGATTGCTAACCTGAATGGAACCAATGGACCGTCTGCCTCTGCTCTTTCCGATGGTGCATTCTTGCTTTCTGTGTTCGTCACCAAGTGGCTCATGAAGCCTATGGATGGGGTTGTCGAAAATGTTGTTGCCTCCCTTGGCAAACTGCGTTCATGCAAGCTTATCGAGAATGGAACGAACATGAGTCGGTACCACGTGGAATATTTCAACGTGCGCCATGCGGCTTATGCTTTCTCCTGCCTTGGTGGGTTTAGACTCGATGTATTTTCTTTTCTTGTTTTTCTGTTCTTACAAGTACAACGCTAATATTGGTTTCCTGCAGAGTCTTCATTTCGACGTCTCCCCAATTGATGCGAAAGAAGAGCCCGCTTTGTCTCACAATCAAACTCCTAGTCGTGTTTCCCCTCGGAGCCCTGTGACCCCATATCACCTCGTGTCCAAGGAGAACGAGATCGAGGAGAAGATCGACATTTCTCCTGCTTCTGAGGAGGGTAAGACGAATCCTGAGCACGCGATTGATCTCGATCGAATCAGGCACGGACTAGATGTTCGCAGCACTGTAGGTTTTCTCCACTCTGCTGCCAGACCGATTTCTCACATATTGTCTCATTACAGGTCATGATCCGCAACATTCCCAACAAGCTTAGCTCGGTATGACTATCTTCATCTTGTTATTAAAACCACGAAGCCTAACTCGATGTGATCAATAGGAACAGCTTCAGCGCATAATTGATGAGTCCAGTTATGGGAAGTATGACTTCCTCTATCTTCGCATGGGTAAGTTCTTCTCAATGATTCATTCGCTTCCTCTAGCTAATGCGGTCCCTAGATTTCACCCATCGTTGCAAGTAAGTTTTGAGTGCTCATTGTTGGTTTTCGATGTTACTGATCCTTTGTTTTTCTAGCGTTGGTTATGCGTTCATGAACTTTGGCGATGTGAGTATTTCTGCTGAGATCCCTTTCATCTGGTATCCCTTTCCTCCGATATTTTACTAACACCGTGTGCAGCCAATCGATATTCTCGATGTAAGTTATATCGTAGGCCAGTGTGTGACATGTACTTACCAATTTCCTTTAGCTTGTTCGCGCTCGAGAGGGCAAAACTTGGTATGCCCGTTCTCATCTTCCCCAGAGAACTGCACGGTTGCTGACTCAATTACAGGCCCAGCTGCATCTCCGAGAAGAGAACCGAGATCTCTTATGCTAGTTCGTGTCCCACCCGTTGTCAATGAGAATGATGTCTGACAAGTTTCAATAGCACTTCAAGGAAAGGATGCTCTGATTAGCAAATTCCGCAACAGCAACGTTATGACTCGTCCTCATGAAGAACGACCTCGGGTGCGTTTCGTCCTCTCTTGTCCTATTGCAGTACCGATATTGACTGGATATAGCTTTTCCATATCGACGGCCCTCGTGCAGGCACCGAAATGGCTTTCCCAGGCCCCAATGATGCCAGTAAATTGCGACGTTCAGTTGCTAGCACCACTCAGCAAGGTAAGATGCTATGTCCTTTGGCTTACGAACCTGCCCTGACCCTTTCACAGGCCTTTTCGCACCTCGTACCCGAGGTCCCACTACGCCTCACACCAACCGCATCCGTCCTCAGTCTCAGTCGTTCGGTCAGACTCCCCGAGGTCGAGGTTCTATCCGCACTTCCCGGCATTCTGCTGGTCGATCGGTCCAGCATGCCCCTGGCGAGTTTGCTTCGATGCAGACCGAGAACCGTCAATTTACATCGCAGAGGAATTAAGCTTTCACCACGATGCCGACCAGTCCCATTCTTCATGGGTTTCTGCATTAAAAATTCAGTTCGTACCTTCCCTGAAAACGATCTCGTCGACGAATAATCCGACAATCCATCTCTGTCCTGTTGAACCCGAACACATTTCAAGAGACATTCGTCGACAAGTCTTTGACCAAGACCCTCAAATTTGCCCTCAACAAATGAAATCCAAAAAAAATCGACGATTGCTTACCCTTTCCTTGCCTATTTTGAAAAAAGATTACGGTTGACTGTGCTCCTCCGGTAGATGTCTACTCGAGAGGGCAACACAGACTTCTTTATCGAAAAAAAGATGAAAAACAAAACAAAAACATCTGGGACTCAGTTCATTTCCCTTTCCACCAAAGATACATTCGGCTAACAGAAACTTCTCGTTTCCTGCCATTGATGTGCTCAACATTAATTGCCTCGTTGCCTTTGCTGTTCTTTGCGTTTTCTGCGTTTTTTGCGTTTTCTATTGCTTTTTGCGTTTTCTGCGTTTGCTATTTCTATTGCTTTTTTTGTTTTGAAAATCCGGAAAATCCCAAAAATATTGGGGGGAGTTAGTTAGCCAAATGGAATGATTGAGTATTCAACTCTGATGGTAGAGAGTAGATACATTCGACAGTAAAAGTACGTCGGGAAAACCCACTTTTCATCTTTTCCAACTCCCTACACAAAACATGGACTCCAAGGAAATCCTAGCAGTCCACTCAACGCTGCATCTAATCTTTCACCGTAACAAGAATCAGCATCGCCGTACAAAATGGTGGAAATGGCTATCCATCTTGAAGCGCGCCACCTTGGATCTCGCCCGATCGGGGGTAAAATCCCACCTGGCCACCCACATAATTCCGAGATGTTACATGTATGAAAAGGTTCTATTACTTTGCTGAATCAGACTAACTGTTTCCTTAGTGCCTTCTCAACTGTCATTGCCGATAACCAGTTCTCTACCCTTGGAATCGTGCTTCTAGCTACCTTGGCGCGACTGTCCAAAATCACTGGGATCAGTCATCAGCTGAAGGTGCAACCTGTGGCAAGCAAGTCCAAGCCTACTCCTGTTGTCGCAAAGGAGGATCTTGGGGAACGCATTCGTCGAATTGATGATGCGCCACTCACCCGCCCGGTCAAGGTTTTGCAGTCTGAGTCCAAGGTCTCCAAGGTTCCCAAAGTCCCCAAAGTCCCCAAAGTCTCCAAAGTCTCCAAAGTCTCCAAGGAGAAGAAGAGCACGGAAAAGCTTACCGAGGACGGTGTTTCAAAGCCTACGCTGAAAAAGAAAAAGAAGAAGAACGCTATTGATGATTTGTTCAGCGGTTTGTTTTGAGTCTCATACCCCTCTATGTATAGTGTTTACTTTTTACGGTTTCCAAGGGGTGTATGTCCAGGCCTTGTATTTCTATGCTGAAATATTGCTTTTTATGAATAATGAGATCGAGATCGAGAGAAAATAATCTCCCCCAGTAAATTGACAGCAACATGATTGGCAGTGGCCCACGCCATACTGTAGAGATATTTGGGGGAGAACACGGTCCAGATGAAAAGATGCGTCCGCAGGGCTGTACAGGCGGCCATGACAGAAACCAAGGACATGGCGACATGGAAGGTCAACAGTGCCGAGGGGTTTTGTTCTGCGGGATTCGTCGGCCGGAGACGATGGCTCTGTGAAGCCCACCAAATAGGTCCTGCCCAGTTGCTCGCGAAGGTGAGAATGCCCACGAGCACCACGCTGTAGTTATCAATGCCGTTATACCCACTAGCAAGGTCCACGGAGGAGATTGCGTTGGAGCCGCCAAACGCGAAGAACGTCATATATTGAAAGATTAAGGTTGTGATAGTCACTTCGATCCCAGTGAGGTTCATGGAAGAGAGAATGCCGGCCTGGATTCGGAAAATCAGGAACAAGGGGACGTTAGTGGCACGGGACTGCGTCATTAGGAAAATATGTAGAGCTTCATGGATTATATCATGTGGCGCTAGAGATGCTGGTCAGTAAGGACTCCAAGCTCAGAGGCAATTTAGCACGTGTGGTCTTACCTCGGGCAACTCTTGATCGGTTGCCAACAACGAGCGCTAGCAGAACAACAACAGCGAGTTCATAAAACACAAGCCTGGCATGTGAAACCAATGATAGACTGTACGGCCATTCCTTCATGATTTGCGAGATGAACGTCCCATCGAGGAGTTCGGGGGATTCCGAAGTCACGAAGTGCAATTTGAACGTACAGGCCAACACGACAGGAGCCAATGCACCGAGCTTCATAATCCCAGATATTGGTATACTCTTGAAAAGATGACGACCGGCATCCACGTATGTGAGGATAAAAAGCCCCCAGAAGATTTCTGGATGGCGTGCGAAGAAGGTACGAGCAATATCAGGCTCAGCTGCGAACTTCTGTCCTGTTTGGTTCCATCGTCGCAAGAGCCGCTGGGTGATTGCGAGCACAGGAATCATGAATTTGTTAGACCAATATGCTAACGACCCAAAGTGTTTGCGTGACACTGGGGTTGCAGATGATTGCGATTTGATATGAAGGTAGACAATCCATCCCGAGCAGATCCAGTACCAGAATTGTTGCTCTTCTTCCACGTAACTACTCGCAAACATCATCATCCCACAGGTGATGATCATGAGCATCAAAAACATCCCGGAAGATCCGTGACGTGTGCATTCCTTGTATGTAGCCGGAAGTACAAGCAGACCTGCAGCCAATGTAATTAGAAGACCCAGAACGAGTCTGGAGACATCGTAGTTACTGGCAGTTCGGCTCATGACCTCTTGTGCAATTCTTAAGAACTGCAACAAAGCGGGGCCGGCCGTAGAGTAAGAATCATCTGCTTCATCCCTGCTAGAGAGGATTTGCTGAACTCGAGCCCAAGCACATTGAGCTCCCTCAATACCCGATGAAACTCCCGAAGCACAGGATGGAATGCTATCGGGGCTAAACGTAGATCCAGGGAACGTAGTTGTCAATGTGTTCAGCAGCTGCTCGGCATTTTGATATAAGATTCGAAGTTTATGAGAACCTGTTTCCGAGTTAGTTCCTTGTTGTACTTCGCTTTGGTGCGTTTAGAAATAGAGTGCATACCAGTATCCCACATCTCTAGGAAGTCTGGGATGAATACACCAAGACTGTTTAAAGGAATTGGAATTCCAAGAAGCCCCGCCAAGGTTGGAGCAATGTCCGCTTGCTCAACGGTCTGATAGTACTGCATATCGCCTAACGGTTCCGCGGGGCTTTCTCTTCGGCCGCCTAAGGCTTCAAACTTGGGTGATATGAAAAGTAACGCGGGGGATGTTTCGCCAGCAGAGGACCCGCCGTGGTTTCCAGCCTCGTTCATGCCATGATCTCCGCACAACACGAAAAGTGTGGATTGGAGATGATCTTGTTGCTGCATTGCGGTATAGATTTCAGCCACCATAGAGTCCATCTCATGCTGTTTCGGTACCATGAAGGGACTAGGAAGGTCAGGGTTAAAAAAGCATTTAAGGATGAGGTAGCGGGCCGTATTTACCTTTTCGGGCCAGCCTTATGTCCTATGTGATCCAAACCCAGGTAATGCATAATCATAGCAGACCAGTCATCCTGGGCAAGCTCATTAGGAACGTGTCGAGTCACATTATGATCTACTTCCGTGAAGTCCTGTGAAAAGAAGCTCAGTTTCAATACTAATACTGCGGATACACAAACACCTAAAGTACAACTGACCGACACGAAAAAGCTTGTCGTTCCATCAGCTCGGTCAAACATCCCCGGGAAGAGCTTGAGCCAAGTGTCGTCCCCATACATCACAAGCCGTCCTCCTGCGGCCTTTATTTGCGCTAACCAGGTGTCCTGGTATGCCAGTGTTGATGTGGTATCTGATTCAGCGATGTTGAGAATAACATCTAGAAAGGATGGAACCGAACCAGTTGTGATGGCCTTTAACCGAGGCATTGTAACAGTCGGAGAGCTCGCATAGGCTGTGAATGGCAATGCAGCACCGGACCGAATCAAGCTAGTATCAAATCAGTTACTTATTTCGAGCGATAAAATAGTGGATTTCGAAGGCAACACTCACCTCTGTGTAAACAAGAAACCTGACTCATTCGAGTATACAAAGTCGCTATATGTGACACCTTGTTAGTTACCGGTATAGTTTGGGAGTTGAATTATCCCAACCATACCTCCGGAGCGCATCGACCACCATGAAGATAACTTTGTCAAACATCGCAGGTGTTGTAGCATTTGCGTCTGTTTCATCAAAAGTTGCTAATCCAGGGATCAACGGTTTATAAGGGAAGAATCCTGAAGAGAAGGTAAGTATGCCCATGGGCACTAGCAAATTGGCAATGACCGTCGTCCAGCTGCGGAAGCCCGCCATTTTGCAAACTGACTAGCGTTAGCACTGGCAGCACGACTTTGATGTAAAGAGCCCCCAAATCAAATGGACATGTCGAACTGTCCGGGGGAATCCAAAAGGAGGCAGAATCGTGTTTATGATCGACGCGCATCACCACACCGCCTTCTCGAGTACCTTGGTCTATTGTGCTCCATATAGAAGTCTACATTTACTTCAAAATTTGACCCCTCTATTCATGAGATAGAAGTTAACAGTGTTGGATGAAGCCATAAATTCGCTAATTAATCTTGACTAGGGTTGCTTATTGGTGATTTGGAATTTAAGAGCAACCTCTATTGGCTCCCCGGCCACACTGAGGTTATTCTTTTCCCACCGAGCAAAATCCAAGTAATATCTCAAGCCTTTAATGAAAAGGTATGGTATATCAGACATAGACTATGAAACATATGTACGTGAATCGCAGGTGTAATCGTGGACTCCCAAACGCCTTTTTCTTCTTTCCGCCACACCATCTCATCAATAATCCATTCATTGGCCCTCACTAGGCACACGCCTCACTTCCTCTTGGGACCCTTCATGGTTGTACCTAGACGCTTTTGGAAAACAATCGAGTTGCGGGGCTTCTGGTTGCGCTTGTGCACACGTTCAGGCTTCTTCTTGGACTTAAGTGCGTCGATATCCATCTCTGTGTTAGACGGGTAAGCGTTCTGTATTTCAAAAAAAGGTATAATCAAAAAGTTGAGCCATAGACTAACCTTCACTGTCGGCGGTCTGGGCCTTGACTGCTGTAATATGAGGTAAGCCGGTATCCTTGAAAAATGATGGTAGTATACATACCATCCTCGATCTCTTGCTCCTTCTTTGATTTCTTAGGGGGTTCAGGCCGCGGCTGTGCTGCAAGCTCCTGTAGTTTGGCAGCGAGTCTCTCGGTTCTGGCATCAACCACCGGGCCGAAGACCTTGGTGCGCAGAGTAGCTCTGTTGCGCTTGGAAACGCTGGCTCGGACACTCTTGGCCATTTTATGAAGATATAGAAGAATAAAGAGGTAAATGGGGTATCAAGACGTGAGGATATGGGCAAGAATGTTAAAACTGATGTTGAAACTGATGTCGGGTGGGAAATAAAATGGTCAAACTGATAACACAATCAACTTTTTTTTTTCCCGATAGGCTCGTCTTATGTCATCCGGAGACCGCACTTCCAAGGTTCACCTCCGAGTGTCGACTCGACCTCGCCGCTTTGTGACTGGGTTTGTGGCATTTCACATTTCACTTCAGTCGAGAGATGTATCGATGCAGAGCCCTTACAATTGGCCTGGCTGAATTGGACCCTTGTCTCTCGAGGAACACTGAACCAAGTCCTTGATTACTTTCGCACTTCTCTTATCTGCGCAGTCATAAGCAGCCATGTCGACCAGCCTGGCGTCAGAGGTCGCAACACTCACGGCCTTCATAAAACCTCTCACAAATCCACAACTGAAAGATTTGTTGAGGTATGAGGGCCTACAGGTATCCGGGTTGAAGGCAACCCTACAGTTCCGCATTATTCAACGTTCGTTAATTCCCCCGGTTCTTGTTATGGCTTGTTCATTCTATCCTCTGCATGTTTTACAATCCTTTCTTCTTCATGTCCCTGTTTCACGGCCCATTCTTGCAGAAATCTGGATACTGACCAACGAAATAGGCATCCAATCTCTCGCGGAATCCGACCCTGTCAGTTTCGATGAGCTAGCCAGGCGCATTCGTGCGACTGCTTTTCCAAACACTGTGCAATATCAGTCACCCTCTAGACCACAATACCAGCCGTCGCCTGTCTCTCAATCTCCTGCACAAACTCGACATGCACCGCTTGGCGTCTCCATGTCCCCTCATCCATACTCGTCCGGTCCGACTGCTCCTCTCATGAACCCTCCTGCGGCGGCTCATATATCTCCAGGTCCTTTGGTTTTCAAAGAAAGTCCATTTTACACAATCCTGGAGCCTT